GAGGGGAGCGCTGGCGCGGGGGGGGGGGGGGTGCACAGCTACAGGCAGCCCTGAGGGAAGTGGGCAGGGGGATGCAGGTAGCGCCCACTGGCTGCAGCACGTGGCCGCAGGGCAGGTGTTGCCCCTCATGGCCACTCCCCACGTGGCACCCTGCAGCCATGTGACCTGCGCCTGTGTTTTGGTACTCCTGGCATGTGGGGGGTGGGGAGTGTGGCATGCAATGTGGGGCGTGGCATGTGACCCTGCATGGCCAGTCCCCACAGTGGGGAGAACAGTCTGGCCCCGCCTGCCTCAGCCCCCACCTCTGCCTGTCTGTCCTAAGGCTCTAGGCTGCACATACGGACAGACATACGAAAGTGGTAAGGTTTTTATTATATTAGAATTAACATGCAGAACCAAACACGTTTCTTCAATAAATTTGTGCAAGATTAGCTGAAAGAATTTAAAATACATGGCTGCCTACAACAGTAAACACTGTAGCATTACCAACAGATCCACTCATGGAATTAAAATGATGGAATTCCAATATTGGCGTACAAATAAATACTGTAATTGTGCAGTGAAGAGCCCAAATAAAGGAAGTGCATCATGCAGCTGCAGAAGGGGTTGATTCCGTTATTCTAGCTTTAATCAACATGAATAGTCAAGAAATAGCAAGACTGTTATTATCAATGGTTTGTAGCAGCGTCTTCAATTGACTGGTGGAAACAGACTAAAGAACAATTTTTTAAAAAGGAAAAATAAGATACTACGTTTAAAATGTTGAAGTTAAAAATTAAGAAAATACAAAATGTGTCCTTGTCTTTGCTCTACCACATGAGAATATAGGTTCCACTCCTTCTTTAAAGAATCTTTAGCTTGTATTACATTGTCATCCTACTCTCTGCATCTTTCTAATTAACTGATTTAAATGAAGTCCCTGTAATTCCAGCAAGGAGAGATGGAATTAGGCTGCAGTTTTCAAGCTTTCTGACCAATGTTTCATGTTAATCAGCTGATGAAGTGTGCAGTCTTCCTAGAATTAATCCTGTATGTATGAAACAATTAAGCATTTTGTGCTTCATTTTCCATTCCCTCGTTCTTCATGTGGTCATTAGCATCTGCGCAAAGTTTGCGAAAAAAATTATCCTGATTCTCCAGCATTTGATATCCAATACTGTACAGTAACCTGCCTGTGTAGGATAACAAGGGTTTCTAAATATACCTCAAAGAAAAACATTTTATTTAATAAAATGCATTAAGGAAGGAAACTAAGATTTGTAAGAGCTTGTCTTCTATCTGCAAAAGTGACAAAATTCAAGGTTAAGCCTTCCAAACCCATTTTCAACTACTATTTTGTATCAACATTACTGATCATTACAAAGCTTTCCAAGACTTTCAAAATTTACAACTATGAGTCATACTCCAGTGGAAGCTTTAATTCTGATTGGCTCCCATATGTAAACTTAATTCAGGCCCTTAACCTTCTGTCTGTTCTCTATAAACCAGGGGTGTCAAACATACAGCCCTCAGGCAGGATCCCATGCACAGCGAAGATCCATCTGACCCACCAGTCTACTGGCCACTGATGCTCCCCACTGTCACTGATGCCACTGCTGCTTGGCCCCCGGTTCTGGCCTGTAAGGAGCCTCACAGTCCAGTTCCAGCCTGGGCCATGGACTGTGGCTATGTGTAAAAGAATGAACCTGTTGCAGCATATTTCTCTTCAGATAATCATAGACAATAGACCTATGTCACACAGAGGAACCCCCATTTGGGTTTCTTGGGGTTAGACCTAGGGCAGTTCTGAGACAAGTCTTTTTTATGTTGGTAAGTTACTGAACATATGAACACCTTTAGGAATAACTTACCTAATGATTGTTAACTCATAAGAATAGATGCCAGTAGTACTCTTCTTTTCCAACGTCTATTTCAGAAATATTGTAAAATATGTACTCGCTATTACTGAATTATCCAAGAAGCCTTACTTACCACTCTCTAATTCACGCAAAATTGGTAAAATCTTTACATTCCAGTAGTTTTCTTCCTCTTCTGATTCATTTAGTTTTGAGTCATCCTTCAAACCTTCAAAGTACATTTAAGAGAATACATTAGAAGGATTTAACTGCAGCATGAATCTGAATTCAAAAATATTTTATTAATCAGGTTAACTATGATAATGCTGCATTTCACTAGCTTCTGAAAAGTCCACTTTATCCCAAATATGTATTTTTATTTAAAACTCTCTCAAAATTAATTATTTTTTATATCTTTCTAAAAGGTATAACTTTAATTCCAACACATAATAATGATTAAGTTCAAGACCTGATACAGGAGGTACTGGTTGAAATTCTATTGCATGTATTATGCAAATTAAGATAGATGGTCATAATTGGTTCTTCTGGCCTTAAAATATATATATCTATTCATTCTATTTCTAAAAAAATGTAGTACATAACTAGCTTATTATATGAATATAGCCTCAGGTCTTCTTTGAGTAAAAAGATATATTTCTGAAGCAGGAATGAAAAAGGAACAATTTTTCAGCCTAACTCAAAAATTTCACTCTTCAGATTGCTGCACAAAATCTGGCAGAATAATTTTGATTAGCAATAACACAACACACACATGCACACAAAGGGTTTACGTAGCCTTAACTATACTCATCTGATCAGATCACTCAATTGAGGGGACAGTAGTTTTAGGCTCGAGTGGGTAGGTACAATACTCTGGGTTTTGTGGGCTGTTTCTGCTGGTGGACAAATTGTTAGGTATTTCTTTGATGGAATTCTGCCCATCTAAAAAGAATGCACACAAAGGCCATGCACAGGGGTTATGTTCCTTCCAGGAGAATCACTGCTCTCCTAGTACAAAATGCATGCATAGATTCATTCACTTTCTCCTGGAGGAAGCATGCCTCCTCCAGGAGAAAAAATTTCCAGGTTCACACATGGAATCTCTCTTAAGCGAGAGATTCTCTCCTGCCAGAACAAATGGCTGCACTGCTCGACTTCTCCATGACTGGGAAGACTGTCACCAGTTTGGAGAAGCATGGGAAGTCTTTCCCTGCCACTCCACTCCCTCCTAGGTATGGGAGGACTGGAGCAGTCACTGCTTCCTACACCTTCCCCAAACTGGCATTACCTCAGTCTGAGGACAGTGTGTAGAGGCAGGGGAGCCAGAATGAACACCTATACTGCTCCCTTTTCTGAAAAGATTTCTAGCAGTGGAAATGAAAGCCTGCTCATACCCAGTCATGTTTTCCAGAACACAGTAGGAACCAAACTGTAATAAGCTTCCTCTCTCACAGATAGGTCTCTTTCCAACAAAGACTCTGCTCAAAATGCTCCCTTTCACTTTCTATCAGTGCCCTGTTTTCAGTCCTTCCATGCCACTTGCCTGTCCTCCTGAGCAAAAATAGACTTACCTTTCAACCCTAGCAAATATTTAAAACATAAATCACACTGTTTGGCGACTGATCCATGAACACCACTGTTCTTTTATGCTATCCCTTCCCTAAATTGTCAATCTCTGTTTTGCAGTATTCAGATTCTTTATCTGCACTAATTTTTGCAAGGATCTCCTGAAAAACAGTAATTCCTCTAATAATTACAAAGCTTATTTTAATCTCAAAACTCACTGTGTTCATTACCAATTGGTAGCCATTAGATATTGTAGCAATATTGTTCTTTAACTTAAATAGCTGTTCTCCCTCCCTGATTAAATTTACTGTGCAAATATTTATACAACATAATCATATCTGCTCTTATCCTTCATTTTGCTAAGCTAAACAAGCCAACCTTTTATTCTTATCTCCATTTCCTTACCTATCCTAGTAACCTTTCCTTGCACATGTTCCAGTTGACTCTTTCTTAAACAAAAGTTACCAAAACTGTCTACCAATACTTGCTCTTGTCTGTACTAAATAAGCCCCACTTAATACACTGTACAACTGCATTAACCTTGTTATGGCTGCTTCACGCTGGTGATGCATGGTTGTCCTACAATCAACCTGTATACCTGGGTCCTTCTCTTCCTTTGTTGCCTCCAGTCCATGACTGCACCCTCTTACAGCCAAAGTTCTAGTACTTAGCCCCTAAGTGCATGACTCTGTACTTTACAGTATTTAACTCTGTACTATTTCTACTGCTCCACTCCAGAAGATTTTCTAATTCTTTCTGTGAAATAATCGAATCTCTTCCGTACCAGCAATATCCCTCATCTTTGTGTTATCTGCAAATTGCATAAATATTCACTAGTTCATGCACTGATGTTACTAATGAAAATGACAAGCAGGATGGGTCACAAAACTGGTCTTTGAGGAACACCACCATTTTGAAGCGTGGGGGCACAGGGACCGACACGTGAGACGCTCCAGGTGCTTTAATTAGGGCAGCACTCTGAGCCGTTCTAAATAAAGTCCATGTCCCCCTCCCCCTCTGAGCACATGTATAGATGCCTATCTTTATGAACAACAACAAACTTCCTAATACTATATGGTAAAAGCAGAACAATAAACAGGAAAACAAGATAATGCGATTGGGGCACTGCCCTCTGCAGATAAGAGTACAGAACTTACATAGACACGCTCAATACACAATACCTCACTCCACTAAATAATGTCCAGTAGTCCTGTAAATATTTGGACTGGATGGTGACCTGTCTTGCGTAGCCCTCTTCAGAGGTAACAGACTTTCCACTGGCAACAGAGGTAGGTTGCTTTGGCTCTTCTAAAGTAGCTTCAGCAACTGAAAGTGCTGATGGGTCTGAAACAGCAGCTGCTGCACTCGCCAGAATTGTTTCCACTACTGGTGCAATGCCTTCTGGTGTTGCAGAGGTCACATTGTCTGAGACTTGACCCCGCATGTGGTCAACATGACTGGAAAGTGTCTTTCCATCTGATGTCTGGGCCTTAAATGATACTGGCCCTGTAGTTCCAAGGACTGATGCAGGCATCCACTGTGGCCACGTTGCATAGTTTTGGATGTACACAGGTTCATCTGATTCAAAGGTTCTTACAGGTGAAACATAAGGGTTTCTTGGAGAACTGGATTTCTTGCCTTATCTGGTATTCAGCTACCATACCTTGGTGGAGCCAATACAAGCAAGTTTTCAGCTGGCAATAGTAGTTCCACTTCTGCAGGGCCATGACCTGTAGTAGCACTTGGAGTTACAACCTATTGTGTAAGAAATTAGCTAATTGCTGGTTCCAGTCACCATCAACAATTTACTTCAAGGCATCTCTAGTAGTTTGGACCATCTGTTTGGTTTGGCCATTTGCTGACAGATGGAATGGTGCAGATGTTGTGTGACAGAGCAATGGCATCTACCTGGAGGGGAGGATTCTAGCATCAGAACTTCAGAGAGCGAAGGAATAGGGAATTCAGAACAAGATAATGGTACACAACTCAGTGCATCTTCGTTGGCTATTCACATTCCATAGCAACATTGAAATTCATAGCAACTTGCACTTAAAATAAGGACCAATGAGGCATATGTGGTGAAATGATTCTTGGTCCATTCTTGGCGAATAACCCTAGCAACAGTTTATGATCTGCCACAGTTGTGAATCTGTGGCCATATACAGTCATGGGATTTCTTAAATCACACTTACAACTGTAAGAGCTTCTCCATGTATTTGGACACAATTCCTCTCAGTTTTATTCATAGTTCATGAAAGGTAGGCAATGGGAGCTTTGCAACCATTTTTCTGCAGGTGGTTAAGGAAAGCTCCCACTCCATATGGTGAAATACTGCAGGTAAGCAGAAGTGTTTTCTCTGTGTCATAAAGAACTAGCATACTGTCAGATGACAGCAATTGCTTCACATCATTGAAAGCCTGGTTATGCAATTTAATCCATTTCCATGCAGCATCTTTACCCAAGACAATACAAAGGCTCAGCAACTGGAGCCTTGTTTTTTAGGAAAGAATGGTAGAAATTAAGCAGACTCAGGAACACTTGCAGTTTTGACTTATTCTTAGGTGTTGGGGCCTTATGAATAGCTTCTACCTTTGCATTCATTGGATGAATTCTGGTTATATCTACTTGGAACCCCAGGAACTCCACCACACTGGTTACTCCAAAAGCACGTTTGCTCTTTCTTGAGTTTCAGACCAGCATTGGAGATACAGTATAACACTTCTCACAGTCAGAAAACTAATTCTGACGTGGACCCTGCTCCAATGAGGACGTCATCAAAATATGGCATTATCCCCTTATGACCTTCAAACTCGTTATCCATAACCTTTGGAAAAACTCCTGGTGCAATGTTTATTCCAAATTGTAAGCACTTGGCTCAAAAGTCTCCCTTATGAGTAATGATTTTCTGTGCATCAGTGGTGTCATCATCCATAGAGAGTTGTTGACATGTTTGGGCCAAATCTAATTAGGAAAAACCTTCCCTCTAGCAAAAGTGGTAAGGAGCTGGTTTATTGCTGAAATCTGGTATGGGTATTTCTGTAATGCCTTATTAATAGTACACTTGTAGTCAGCACATAATCAAATATCAGTGTCTGGCTTCATGGTCAGTACAATGTGAGAAGCTCATGTTGGATTTAAGTTTGTAGAATAAGATACCTTAGAAGCAAGTCAACCAATCTTTGCATCAAAGTTTTGGATGAAGGGTGAAGGCAACAAGTCAAACTGGAGCCAGATTCAGATCCAATGTAAATGACACAGGCTGGCCCTCATAGGGAAGGAGCACTGGAATTCGCACCAAAAGTGCACTGTATGGCAACTCCTTTATTCTTGCAGTTTCTCCCGCATGTCCCCCTGCTGCTGATTGATGGAAGGGCTCTGCAGCTCATCCCTGATAGGGGAGGAGGTGAAAAACCATGGTTTTAAACATGCTATGTTTTTTGCCTCCTGCTGCTGATTGGTGGAGGGGCCCCTATGGCCCCACCACTGTGCAGTTGACCATATAGGCACTGCTGACTGGATGCTTAGATTACCCTTGAATAGAATGAAGCAGCTTCACATGCAAGGAATTCTTACAGAGCCATGGCAAACAATAAATTATTCTTTGCAAGAAGTCTGCATTGTAGGGCTTTGTCTCAAACCCCACATGCAAGATGATCTCTAAAA